GCACTCACACAACGCTGTGGTTGTTTCACGACGGTTTTCTGTGAGGCCGTGGTATCACTCCGGTCGAGCCAACCCATTCGTGCCGAAGCATGGCCTCTTATCTCCCACACTTCAAACTTCAACATAACAACATAACATCACGCCTTTTTATCCCCGAAGGGGTAGGCAAAAGGCGCACATTATGCCAGTAGATTGAGATTGAATTGAGCCTGGTATATGGCAATATGCTCACCCCCTATTACATGGGACTCATAACATAAATAGTGAAAAGTGGGTGTTACATTGTACAGTGGCATAATGTGCACCTCTGCCTACCCCTTCGGGGATAAAAAGGCGTGATGTTATGTTATGTTATCTTATTGTATTGACCTTAAGTCGAAAATCCAAAGAAATATTTTACAGATTGGAGTTGTTTTATATGTTGGCCACTGTTATATCCTTATATTTGATTAACCATACGTTTTCAGATTGTAAAACTATTCTACTAGTTCATTGTTACTAGTTCATCATAAATGCAACGTTATGGATTTACCCCATAGCCTCCGTAACTTTAAGAAAATTCTAAAGGAAGCCCTTCAAGACATGTCCTATGAAGACATAGAGAAGTTATTATTAGTTCCTAAATAATACTTATCTCCTAATATCTTATTTATATGTATACTACACACCTTACATTATGATCTTTATACCTATAGCTTTAAGCAAAACTGTATATTTCTAGACTATTATGTTTGTTTGTTTGAAAATAATTTTTTTTTATTTTATTGTCAACTAGCTTTTACCCGCGGCTTCGCACGCGTGACAAAAGGATAAAAAGTAGCCTATGTGACATATAACGATATGCACAGCGCCATCTATACCAATACTTTTGTTTTCCCTCAGGAATATCAAATTTTTCCGGGATAAAAAGTACCCTATTATTTAATCTGGACTTCTAACTTTACGTCTGCAAAAATTCAAAGCTATCGGTTTAGTAGTTACGGCGTGAAAGCGAACAAATTAACAAACAAACAAACTCACTTTCCGATTTATAATATTAGTAAGGATTAGTAAGGATATCGTCAACAGCCTGTGAGAGTCTTCTAAATCAAATAAAAAATCATTTATTTGCCCGAAACACGTATATAGTGTTCACATTTAATTATAGTCTCTATTATTCTGCCCACAATTCGGGCGTGCAATACTTTTGAAAATGGAAGTTATAATCAATTATGAATTCAGTTACAAAAATGACATTAATGTACATATCAAATTGGAATTAACATAACATTTCACACCCACTTGTCACTATTTATGTTATGAGTCCCATGTAATAGAAGGTGAGCCTATTGCATACCGGCCGCTATTCCAGACTCTGTGCTACTACTGATATTTTTTGAAAAAAAACTAATAATACTTTGGCCGACCCGGAAATTGAACACGAGACCGCTTGCTCGGCAGTCGCACTTGAGACCACTCGGCTAACGAAGCAGTCAGTGTTTTTTTTGTAAGGGCGGAAAATCATCGAATGGCTGCTCCCGCCTGGGTGAGGCGGGAGGGAGTGTCCGCCTCTTACTGACTAAAAACCACCCCGTTCCTTCTCCTGCACGTCGAGCCGGAGCCCTGGTAACCCGTTAGATTCTCCGCGACATTCAGTCAGTGTAACATAGATCATAACTCAATAACCGACTTTCCTTTCTTCTTTTTCTCATGTCCATGGCACCACCAAAAGGCTAAAACAAATTACTCCAAAATAAGCCTACAATATGACTTGCAAATCATAATAATTTTAATCCATTTACCCACCGTCTGTTTGGCCATCACACCGGCTTTAAATAATTTTGTTAGCCAGTTCACTCCCATTTCCTTTTACAGCTACAAATTAGGATATCAAGCTAAAATGAACTGTGAATATGAAAGCCTCGGAAGATGGGGGCTTGGAACACTTCAGAGAAGCATCTGATATTTGAAATGAAAACTAAAAATTGTGACGTAATTGTTATTGTTATATTTTGCATGTAAAGGTAATACATACAGGTCTTAAATGAAATAACAGGCACAGCTTAACGGCATTTTTCACCGCTCGTTTTTTTCTTTATTCTAATAGATTTGGAACCACCCCTTCTTCCAGTGCGTGTTGAATATTTTTATGCATTAAGCATAACATAACATATAACATAACATCACGCCTTTTATTCCCGAAAGGGTAGGCAGAGGTGCACATTATGGCACTTAATGCCACTGTACAATATAACACCCATAGGGTGAGCATATTGCCATTTACCTGACACTTTTTTTAAAACCCAGTAATACTTTGCCTGACCCGGGAAACCGGCAGTATATGCCTTGAACTGCCTCGTAAATATAGTGCATAGGGTATAAGGTTCACCAGATGATAAGCAATCGCTAATGGATATCGGCAACACCAAAGAGCTTAATACAAGTTCGTTTTACATTTCACGAGATCAAAACGAGCCCACACTCGGCGCTGTGATTGGTTGGTTCATTCCAGCCCAATCAAAGCGTACTGGTCGTTCTAATTTTAAAATATTTGAAAAATTATTCACATTTATTAAAATTCTTTGAAATTAAAAAAAAACTTAAACCTAGCCTAAAAATATAAATGTCTCAATCCGGCGGGGATTGAGACATTTATATTTTCTCAACAATAGCGAGGCAATTTGCATTGGGACCACCGCTGCATGGGAACCTCTTACGGATTTGAGTGAAGGTCTTTCTGTGCATCGTTCATATTAACCAGCGTACTATTGTTGATAGTATCAAAGTTTACCATTGTTATAGTATTATGTTAGAACAGTGCGTAGAGAGCTCCGAGTTTTTCCTGATCTTCAGCAAACGTCTTCGCTTTTAACAAGAGTTCCCGTGGCAGCTCGTGACAGTCGATTAAGTCCCCGATCACTTCTAAGAATGGATTACCGTGATACAACACATTACGCAGGACAATACCTTCCAGCATCTTATCACTTTTCTTCGAGGTGAGTGCCTTCTTTTTTAATTTTATAATGTTCTCTATGTCAGCCAGGGACGTCTCTAACGTAAAACGAAAATTTGGATCCGACTTGTATCGTTGAACAAGTTTACTCAAAGGTATTTGTTGTGGATAACAGAGAGTGTTCCTCAGTAGATAGATGCGATTGATAAAACACTTTATTAATTCTTCTTGACCATTCGTAGGATGTTTGACTTTAACAGTATTTTCATATAGATTTTTTATTTCTGTAAATGGCACGTTTGTTTTCTAACACGCGTTGGTATTATTTGTTGATTGATGGCTCATTGGACACACAACTTGCATCTTCTCTAATATGGAATATAGTTTATCTATATTTGACGGATCCGGAGTATTGTTTGTTCCAAATTTACCGATTGAAGCAAACATGTCAAAGCTGATGTCGCCAGGTATATCACCATTTAGAAGGAAGTTTACCATTCCTTCTATTGATTTCCAATGTCGTGAAAAATCTGTTGGAAATGCAATAATGTCAATATCGTTAACTTTTTTTTGTAATTTATACTTGGCGTAATTTATGTCAAATAATTTCGGGGAAGGATTTAACTTCTTAATTTTATGATGTTGTAACAGATCATTGACCGCCTCCACACAACGATTGTTTCTTCTCATAAGTTCTAGTGTTTGTTTTGCATCCTGAATATACGTAGACAACATTTTTGAGATTTTGTTATTAATTTCCTTTTCAATTTCTTTCTTTTTTGATGAAATCTCGTCTCGGTTTTGTAATAGCAGTGGAATTTCTTTAAGCAATTGATATGACAAGTTGGCTGGTTTCCATTCTTTTGTAAAATATTCACCATCCTTCGAAACTAAGTCATTTCCACGTTGTTTATAAAGGCGCCATATTTCATCAAGGCGTTGTCTAGCACCGTCTGGCAAGTTCTTGATTCTATTTTCTAGTAGATCTAAACCTTTTTGTAGTAACGACTTATCAAGAACAGATTTACATACATCAAAAATAGGAACAATTTGTTCTTTGATTTTCACTAATTCATCTTTAACATTTAATAACATATCAGCTTGGTTGTTCTCGATATCAATCCTGATGCTCAGTCGTCCTTTGTCAGCATGTGACAAGAACTCTCTAATGTCTTGTAGATGTTTGATGGTGTCTGTGGATATTGCTATCTGTAGGAAGGTTCTTGTCATTTTAGATAAATGTGATGTCTTTTCAGAGGCCTTTACCATTTCTCCGGTAACTTGTAGAACTCTTTCAATCATAATGACATCTGCATTAGTAGTCTGTTCGAGAGCTTCGATGTATGTAACAATTTTATTTAATGAATAATGGTCACTCACGTACATAATTGGTTTTAGATAATTCTCATCTAACATTTCTTTAGTCTTTTGTTTTTCTTTTTCTTCGACTTCTGACTCCATTGTTGGTTCTTTACTTATAACATGTTTCTTTAATATTTTTTTTAGTCTATTGACGGATTTCTTAAAATACCTTCGCTCGAAGTATAGCACAGGACCCTTATACAACTTATGTAGGTCATATGTTGTTTTAAATTTACTTATTATCGCACCATTGTAAATACGTACTTGATGACATTCTACTGTTAACTGTCTATCCGCAGGTAGGTACAGTCTCCAGTCTTCACTCGTCCGGTAGATTAGATGATAGATAGCGCATTCTATGTCTTTGTACGAGGACGATGCGCTTATGTATTGATTGTGTAACTTTTTATTATTCTCGAAATATTCGTTGGATTTATTGAAACGTGTTTTTAAATGATTTCTTAAAATGTACAGCTTTTCCAACACAAGTAACGCTATATTAAAATCCAATTTTCGAAAATAGACTTCGTACGTAATATACGCATGTGCTCTGAAGTATGTGCTGCTCCTATCTTCAAAGTAGGATTTGAGTTCAAATTCAAGTTGGTAGCTAACACTTGGTATTCTTACCTTCTCAATATCTGAATACTTGTCATATGTACTCAACACAAACAGTAGTACTCTAGCAGTGTCTTCTGCGGAAGTGTCATAACAATGGCTGTGGCAGGTACAGCTCTTGTTGAAAGTCGTTCAGTGTGACGAGAGATTTAAAATTAATAAGCAGTTGTTGGTTCTTTTCAATGGCTGAGTTATGAGCATCTTTTAGTATTTTCCCAAGAGTCTCAAACTTATCCTTTTTGTGCCCTTTCCAATACAAGTCGCCGCTCCAGTAGTTGTACAATTTCTCCACCATATCGAAATCTTCCAGCCGCAGCGCATGTCTGACCGCTTCGGTTCTCTTCTCAATCACTTGTGTGATGTCTTGTGTACTGTCAGTGAGATACTCCAGTATATCAGTTTCACTCAGCAAGTAGTCGAGGACACACTTCTGGTTGTGGGAACAAGCGGCAATGACAAGGTCGTCTTGTGTAGGACATGGCCTGGCTCCGGCGTACACGGCAGGTAATAGCGTTCTGTTGCGATCCATGTCTTGTTCGAACCAGTCAACTATGTTCTCGATATCGTCTATCTCTCCTCTCTGTATAGCATCTAGCAGTTCATTTAGTTTTGTCACTAGTCTTTCAGCAAGATCCATCTTGAAAATTTTCTGTAAATGAAATAAAATTCTATTACATTGGGATTCGAACTCTGTGTCTCATGGTTTAATGACACATATAATCCGATTTTGATTTACTTTATGTGTTGATTTAAAACAAATTGGGCTTAGCTCGCCCCAGCGGGGAATAAATTAGATAAAATATTTTCCCGGGAACTTCAGAGTCAAATAAAGTATTACACTTATTTTGAAATTTCATAAATAGAATAGTCCGGTTAGTGAGTTGGCTAGTATGTCCGTCCGTCCGTGAAGGTAGGCGCTTATTCCAAAACCAAATTGATTCGTATGGAGAGGAACAGAGCAGGCAGAACACTTAGCTTTAGGCGACATTCCTATAACACGCAGACTTTGTATCCCTACCGTATTGCAGGTTTATACTTTGGCAATAATTCTTTTATTATTTCCTGTACAAGTAATATATTACTTACCAGTACCAGTGCGACCAATTCACAAGTCTGATATGTATATCACATTAATCACTATCACAGAATCAGAATCACCACTAATATTTAAACAATTCAAATAACTCCCTTCAGATTTATTTATATACACAAAAACAGCAAATTATAATTATTACGGTGTTAAAAAGTTATCAAAATACAACACGGGACGTCTGATAACAAGTGTATTGTATATTATTATCTTTGTAATTGATAATATTTATATTCTATCGTCGGCTGAGAATTGACAGTTTGGAGTTTAAGGTTTCTTTTTCTAGATACGAAAGGAACAATAGGCTATTGAGTATGTAAAACTGACTAATTACTTTTGTAATGACTAATTACTAAAAACTAAAATATTTACAAATTCAAATGTCTTCATTTCGGTCGTGAGGTACGGCGGCGGCGCCCACAAGACCACGAGTCTGCGGATGGCGTGCAAGGGGAGCTACGCTTCCACGCCGCCCAACCAGACCGAGACCTGAGGGTGCGACACGTCACGATCCGCACGCCCCTCAAAGAGCCACCGGAGAGACGTGATGCACAAACTTGTTCCTTTAGTGACAATATTGCTAACAAATACTGCGAACCAAATCATGAGTGGACTGATGATGTGGTCTCATAAGAGATCCTCACTGATTTCCAACATTTTTGGCAACGCGATGATGGCATGTTGTCTGCAAAGTGTTACCTAGTGAATACGAGGTTTTTGAGTGCACTTTGGGCACACTACATTAAATTGTAGTAAATCCTAATTAATTGTTCGGAATTAAAAACGGAGTTTCGTCCAAAAATATATTTCGTGTCGAATTTAAGAAATAATGTAGCGAGTGATACACCATTTCAGAATCCTCATTAAATTCGCCAACTTTGGTGAAATTTGCCACTTATACCGCCGTACATTTTTTTTTAGTACAGTCACTTAAAGTAATTTGTATAATTTAATAAGAACACTTGGTTCATCAAAAAACTTCATTCTTTTTCGAACTAAAGCAGTTGGCTCAGATTTTGAGATTCAATAATACTGAAGCACTATTCAGGATAACGTATTCAAAAATACAGACGAAAAAATATATAATACATAGGTAGGCGTGCTCCATCGTCGGCCACATCATCGCTTACCATCAGGCGAGATGGTGGTCAAACGTCGACCTATAAAGTGTAAAAAAAAAATTATTGTAGCAACATGAGTCAAAAGACACTTTTTCATAGATACACACACACAGGACACTTTTTCATAGATAACACATAAGTCACTGTAATTTAAAAATTATCTAAATAGGTTTTTTTTATATTTTTCTGATAACTGTAGGAATCTAAACGATCAACTGGTGCCATTTGCTCGTCGACTTCAAGGACACCCTGTATATAACCCTGTATTGATATACTATTTTATACGTGAGAACTTAACGGGTTACCGAGGCTCCGGCTCGAAGTGCAGGAGAAGGAACGGGGTGGTTTTTAGTCAGTAAGAGTCTGGCACTCCCTCTCGCCTCACCCAAGCGGGAGAAACCATTCGTTGATTTTCTCCCCTTAAAAAAATATAACAATGTAATATATGTACATACATGTGCTGCCAATGCTAGCCAAATTATTTAGGAGCGCCTCAATTACTTCAACATCTGTAAACATATCACGTTCAGACTAACAACCAACTACAGTCTGACGAACTTTAAACATTTTCGACTTTATTACAAGCAGTTAAAGTTAAAAATCTTATGAAGAACAATGTCAAATTCCTTTATCAGACATTCGACTTTGTTATCCTTATACACAGTCGAAAATCCAATGAAAAAATTGGACAGACCGGAGTTGGAGTAGGTCAACTAACTTATTGATATAAAGTTATTTAGTAACGATGTGATCAGTGTTGCTATATTACGTAGGCAGACAAATAATTCTTTATTGTAAATACACCATTTTTTAACAATTTATAGTAAAATAAAATAAAATATCTAGGCGTAATATTGTAAAATGTTCGCCAGCTAGTGTTTCATATTATAGCGTATAATAGAAGTTACATCGAAGCGAGAGAGAACCACTAAGTACTCGCTACTCGACTAATATTGTTTGTGTTGGATAGTCATATATCGAGGAAGACTGTATGATATAAACACAAAGATACGATCACTAGGAGTCGAGCACCGAGTGAAACTGCACTACCCCCAGCTAGTTTTAATATATAAGTATTTCACAAAACTTTCAAGTAACCAATTCCTGATTGTTATTTACTCCCGGGATCAAGCCATTGAATACAATATTTAATTTACAATTGACGCGTAACAAAATATTTAGAATTATAGATATTATAAACTGTGTCTTACTCAATTAATTTTAAAGTTGAAAATCTATTGGAGGAAAACGGACTATTGTAGTTTTGTCTGCGTTTCAACTTTATTATTTTCAACGTAAAGTCGATAATTTATTGCAGTGGATTGATGTTTATTTTTATATAACCTGCCTATCTATGTGTGTCCGAATATTTAATATATTGCCGAGTATATTAAAAACACTCAAATTCAGAATTTTTAATATTAAATTATATGTATGGTTGAATTAAAACAACTTTTATAGCAGTAAGGAATTTTTTGAACATAATTAATATATAATCTATAACTACGAGTATAAGTTAGTTAAAATAAGTGCATGCTTTAGTTATTAAGCAAAACATGATGATCTATTCAATTGTAACTATAACATATTTGTATTCCATGTCTTACGTAAATAAATGTCATCTTTAAATTTTAAAACCATTCGAGCTGATTTTTATAAAATTCAATTTCTTTTAGTAACTCTACGTTGCACACAAAAATGTATTTTATTTCATATCTGGAATTTAAACTGGCGATATGGCTACACCGTGCCACAGATTCTACCACGAATATAAGAATTATTATAATCTATGGATTGCGCTATCTGCCGCCTTCCTCAATGACGCATTGATAATACAAATTGGCGACCGAACTTATCGCACGGAGTCCTAAAACATAAATATTATTAACATCGATTCATTTTTACTGTGCAACAGTAATAATCAAATATACTGTATAATTGAAGCAATCGAATGTGAATTCTGAAGAAGTAATTGTACATGAGACCGAGGATATATCAACAAAATAATACGAAGCCGGCAACACGTAAGTAGCTTTACAGTTTCTCTTATAAACCAAGCTTTACTTATAGAGCATTGTAAATATGATGCAACTGATCACAATGGTGTTTTAACACAACTGTACCATGGATATAGGCATGTGATGTATAATGTGTAGTATCCTGTTGTTATACAAAACTCTATAAACACACAACTGCAGAGAGCTCTGAAACATGCACAAACATGTCTTTGTCGTAACAATGAAAGTAATAACTTTTATTACGATTGTTTTGTTAGACATGATAATCTATGTATATCGGATCTCAAAATGATTATCGACCGCTTACAAAAATATCAACTGCACAAGACGTGCTTGTAATGTTTCAATTACGATTTGCTGCATGACCTTCGGGCTCATTTATATATTATTCAGATATTATTGCACTGCTACACTAATCGCTGGGAGTGCTAAATCGTTCGATATTTGTTTTAATTTTTTATTACTTATATAAATCCTTAGAGTATTTAACCAACTAGAGATGTTACGAGTACTTAATATCTATGTATAAATCTATATGTGGATACACTAAATAGAAATAAAGAGGATTATCACAATTATGGCTTACTGTTTTTATATTTATAAATAGTTCAAGAGTAAACTCAAAACTAAAACTATAAAGTTATATGTACATACGTTGACCAGGATAAAATTCCTAATGATATGTCAACGATGCATTTATTCTATATGATTTCATTTACAGAAACATTCCGAATGGATCCAGCAGAAACACTAGTGACAAAACTAAACGAACTGCTAGATGCTGTAAAGAGAGGAGAGATAGACGATGTCAAGACAATAGTTGACTGGTTCGAACAAGACGTGGATCGCAACAGAACGCTATTACCTGCCGTGTACGCCGGAGCCAGGCCATGTCCTACACAAGACGACCTTGTAATTGCCGCTTGTTCCCACAACCAGAAGTATGTCCTCGACTACTTGCTGAGTGAAACTGATATATTGGAGTATCTCACTGACAGTACACAAGACATCACACAAGTGATTGAGAAGAGGACCGAAGCGGTCAGACATGCGCTGCGGCTGGAAGATTTCGATATGGTGGAGAAGTTGTACAACTACTGGAGCGGCGACTTGTATTGGAACGGACACGAAAAAAATAAGTTTGAGACTCTTGGGAAAATACTAAAAGACGCTGAGTCTCCCAAAAATTTTTTTAGCTGGGTTTGCAACTTTTTAAAAAAAATATTAATTCTTTGTCGATTCAAGGAAATTAACCAACAGCTACTTATTAATTTCAAATGTCTCGTCACACTGAATGACTTTCAACAAGAGCTGTACAGCAACCTGCCACAGCCACTGTCACATGGCACTCCCGTAGAAGACACTGCTAGAGTGCTACTGACTGTGTTAAGTACATATGAAGAGTATT